GTCAGCTATGTGTTCTTTTACGCGGGTTTTTATTGATCGTTTTGTTTGCCCTATATATGAGAGACCACACTCACAATCAAGCTTGTATACTCCTGCATCTTGTAGAGGAATATAGCACTTGACTGATGGTAAGAACTGACTAATCTTCTTCGGCGGCTTGAAGAATGTTCTAATAGAAGCTCGCTTCAAGATGTAGCCAATCTTGTCTGTGACACCTCTGACATATGGTAGTACAGCAGGCACACGCTCGACTGTGGCCGGCTTCACTCGGTCACTGTGACGTAGGCGCGGAACCCGAAGCTTGTTGTCGTGCAGAACCTGCTTGACGTGCTGAAGCTCGGCGGCCAGGTGTTTGCTGTCACAGATCCCTCGTGCTCTCTGCAACAAAGATTTGCCCACGGTAGCTAACTGTGAAGGGTGATGGTGGGATTCACCGTTTAAGTATCGGTTTGTATGGGTCTTTTTTCTATACACAGTGTGACCTACGGTGTTATTAGGATTTCGAATGACTAACACATCTAGGAAAGCTAAAGAATTATTTGCCTCTAACTCCATAGTAAATTGAATTTTAGAGTTTATGGAATTAAGATGTTCTAAAAATGCAGTTACTTTGTCTGATGGTAAAATTGTGAAAGTATCGTCTACGTACCGCTTGTAGAAACTTGGAGTTACTGGTGCAGTAAGCAGGGCTTTCTCCTCAAAGTCCTCCATGAAAATATCGGCGACAATGGGAGATACCGGTGAGCCCATCGCAACACCATCTACTTGCTTGTAAAACTGTTCCTTCCACAATAGGTAGCCAGATGTAAGGCAATGTCTGAGTAATACTGCATATTCTGCTGGCATGTTGTTTTCCTCTAGTTTCCTAGTTATAATTGAGATGCAGTCTTCAACAGGTAGGCATGTAAATAGAGATGAACATCAAAACTGACCATAGTTTCATTGTCAGTAAGACATAGGTCTTTTATCTCACTGACAAAATGGTATGAATCCTTAGTGTGTGCTCTTGTGTATACAATACAAGAGCACACACTAAGGATTCATACCATTTTGTCAGTGAGATAAAAGACCTATGTCTTACTGACAATGAAACTGCAAATTTTTGTAGAAAAAACATTTACGTAATAACGCCGTTTGATCTCATAAAAGCGTCTTCCGTAATCCATCATAACAATTTCTTTTACAATGTATTACTTACCGTGACCAGGCCTCTGTCACTCTTGCTACCTTCGTGAAATAATTACCTACAATAGCGAGGCGTCCCCGGGATACAACGCAGTCGGGGCTAGTGCGTTCTAAGCGATTGAATGTTAAAGTGCTTGTATACACAAGAGCACACACTAAGGATTCATACCATTTTGTCAGTGAGATAAAAGACCTATGTCTTACTGACAATGAAACTATGGTCAGTTTTGATGTTCAGTCTCTATTTACATGCCTACCTGTTGAAGACTGCATCTCAATTATAACTAGGAAACTAGAGGAAAACAACATGCCAGCAGAATATGCAGTATTACTCAGACATTGCCTTACATCTGGCTACCTATTGTGGAAGGAACAGTTTTACAAGCAAGTAGATGGTGTTGCGATGGGCTCACCGGTATCTCCCATTGTCGCCGATATTTTCATGGAGGACTTTGAGGAGAAAGCCCTGCTTACTGCACCAGTAACTCCAAGTTTCTACAAGCGGTACGTAGACGATACTTTCACAATTTTACCATCAGACAAAGTAACTGCATTTTTAGAACATCTTAATTCCATAAACTCTAAAATTCAATTTACTATGGAGTGAGAGGCAAATAATTCTTTAGCTTTCCTAGATGTGTTAGTCATTCGAAATCCTAATAACACCGTAGGTCACACTGTGTATAGAAAAAAGACCCATACAAACCGATACTTAAACGGTGAATCTCACCATCACCCTTCACAGTTAGCTACCGTGGGCAAATCTTTGTTGCAGAGAGCACGAGGGATCTGTGACAGCAAACACCTGGCCGCCGAGCTTCAGCACGTCAAGCAGGTTCTGCACGACAACAAGCTTCGGGTTCCGCGCCTACGTCACAGTGACCGAGTGAAGCCGGCCACAGTCGAGCGTGTGCCTGCTGTACTACCATATGTCAGAGGTGTCACAGACAAGATTGGCTACATCTTGAAGCGAGCTTCTATTAGAACATTCTTCAAGCCGCCGAAGAAGATTAGTCAGTTCTTACCATCAGTCAAGTGCTATATTCCTCTACAAGATGCAGGAGTATACAAGCTTGATTGTGAGTGTGGTCTCTCATATATAGGGCAAACAAAACGATCAATAAAAACCCGCGTAAAAGAACACATAGCTGACGTGAAGCACCAACGTTCCGGGAAGTCTGCAGTTTGTGATCATATCCTAGACGGCCCCCGTCATTACATTAGATTTGATAAACCACAAGTCCTCGCGAAAGAACATCGATTCCTGCCAAGGATGATACGTGAGGCTATTGAAATTAAAAAACATCCTAATTTCAATAGAGAGGGAGGCTGGGTACTACCACCTGCTTGGGATCCTGTAATTCATAAAATTAAAACTAAACCCAAGCATACCACTGTAAGACTTCAAGACACAGTTAGTTCATTCTGCGTAGATCGGACCAAAATTAATAATTAAAAAGCTGAAGGTACTCCGGGTTAACTTTGACATCGGGACGTCAATCACCTCAGTCCCCCGTGACCACGGTTGCTGGAAAGCAACCGAAACGTCGGGAATATAAAAATAAGTTAATTAAACGCGATAAAATCCGTAAAAAATAGTTTTATTCAATGTGTAGTGTTCGCGTAAATATAAGAAATCATTATTGATTGCTCACGTTCTTACTGCTAATGTGAAAAACATTATTGTCTGTGATCAAACAGTCGCACAGAGTAGAGATTGTTGCGATGATTTACAATATATGTGCATTTGAAAGCAATAATACGTATATATATATACTGTAAATTGTAAATGATGCTTGAATTTTTATTTTTATTATTTGCACATCCTAAGCAAAACACTTGAAGTTGATGCGAAATGCAAAGTAAAATGTCTGTCTGATGGCCTTTCTGATATTCTTTGCTTGCGCACTCAATACGTACTAGCAAACCTGTAGTAATGTAGAAGCGCTTTTATGTAATGTCATACCCCACTTTGCAATGAGGTGAAATATTTGACAGATTTTATAGCGGCCAAGATAATTTCTTAGGAAAAAGTAATGGTTAATGTTTCTTTCTGTATTATTAGTTATATTTTATAATAATTATATTAGAAATGAAAAAGCCTAATTAAGGATATAACAAAAAGTTAAAATTTTTACTTAAAAAGTGCAAAAATTTAAAGATCAAACCACTATAAGGCATTGTCTTTTTTATTAATATAATACACTTTAGAAACAAACAAACTATTATTTAAAACTAAATTCTTTAAGTGACATTGTGTACCAAAAAACTTTACATCAGCCACAACTAGCGCCATCTGGTGAGCGTGAGATTATCAGCCCACGAGCGCGCATTTACATAAGAATTGTATGACAATTAATTGAATGTACATTATGTATAAACTAATAGAATAACATTGTATCACTTCGGCTACTCAACCGTTAAGTCTAACAGTACTTAAATAATTAGTTGCAAAAATAGGACGGACTAGTTCAGTTTTCCTTATGACTAGAATGATTTCTTTAGAAATATATTTATGTCTGTACACATCACTTGCTAAGGCCGACTCCACACCTTTGCTGTCGATATTCTACGCATTGGAACCGAACCCCTGCTTTGTCGTTCATACTACGTACAGCAAAGGTTTGAAATTTCTTGCTTCAATTCCCCTGCTGGACTTAGGTCTGTTCAGACATGCGCCAGCTGTTCTGCGACTTCTTCTTTATCAGGTCGTAACAGTTACAGTAAGAGATGTAGGGAGGGTTTGCCTTATTCTTTTTTATAGAACAACTGTGAGAAACGAGCACACAGTTCACCTGATGGTAAGTTGATGCTGTGGCCCATAGACATCTTTCTACGTGGTAGAGCCACGCTGCTTGTAGTATAGTTGTAGCACGAATGGGTCGGCTCGGCCGGGGAAGGACCACGCTTTCACAAAATAGCAATTTAACACTGCTGTGTTTCGTATGGTGAGTATAGAGAACCGGGGACCCTTTTTACTGTAAAAGAGGCATTCCATCTTAGTCCTCACGGGTGACAACTCACACAATCAGGTGTACTGTGTGCTCGTTTGTTTGTCTTATTAAAATTGAGATGCGTTGTCACTCCTGAAGACTAGGATGGAAGGCCTCGTTTCCAGTAAAAAGTTCAAATTTCTATGTGTAATATTGAAATAACTGACTTCTAATAACCGCAGGCATTTGCAATGCTGTTAAACATAAACAACTATTTTATAATACATACAGAGATATATAACATTCTTCTATATACTATGCCAAGATACAATAAGAAAATATTTTTACTGAAAATGAGGCATTCCAACTTAGTCCACAGGGGTGATAGCGGATTTGCCTTTTGATTCTTAATCGAGGATAGATGTAGATGTTTATGGGTTACAGCATGCACGTAACATCAGGTGGAATGTGTGCTCGTTTGTAACCCTTATTAAATAAAAGACTAATATGTCAAAGTTACAGGCTTCTTCTCATTTCTGAGAAGGTTTTAGGGCAAGAAAATGTTGGCGAACTTCACATGTCTTAGAAATATTTATTTTCTTATTTTTCAGACGTGCAGGTTTCCTCACGTTTTCCTTCACCACCGAGCACGTGACAGAGCAATTGACAATTACATTGGTGCCGGCGGAGAAGGAACCCGGTTTGCTCGCGTACTGCGTAATTTACAGCGAGGGTTCAGCCCCTGAGCTACCACGGTTAAAAAACTAAACAAATTATATTATTATATTTGTTTCAGCACATTATATCGAAACGGCCACTCACATGCCCATTGTAATCAAAACGAGGTGTTGCTAAACATAGTAGCCGTGCTATAACAAATGT